TATGTTTTGAGTATCTTAAATTCTTGACGCTTCGCGTATCCCCACCAGCCCATCCAGTAACGATGCCCAGGCGAATGGAGGTGATCAGGGAAGTGAGGGAGCATACAGAGTAACAAAGGGCTGGGGAACCCGTCTTACCCAAGACGGCGAGGATGGAGGAGGAATCGGAGGAGGATGAGGAGGAGGAGGAGGAACTGAAGGAGGAGGAGGGGGAGCGGGATGAGGGAGGAGGAGCAATAGGCGGATGAGGAGGAGGAGGAGGAGGAGGAGCAGGACGAGAATGAGGAGGAGGATGAGGAGAAGGGCGAGCAGAATGGCCAGAGGCCTCTTGGATGCCTCTCGGAGTCTCTTCGGATGTCTCTTGGGAGCGTCCTGAAGGCCTCTTAGGGCGTCTTGGGAGCGTCTTGGCGGTCCCGGAGGCCTCTTGGGGCGTCTTGGGTGCCTCGGGGAGCCTCTTGGGGACCTCTTGGGGCCATCTTGGGGCCATCTTGGGGCCATCTTGGCGCCTCTTGGGGCCTCCTGGGCGCCTCTTGAGGCCATCTTGGAGGCGATCGATCAAAGAAGAGGGTGGGGTTAATTAGCCCCCCCCTCTAGATCCTCTAAAATCGCCTCTTGGGCTCATCTTGAGGCGCTCTTGGAGCGCTCTTGGGCGCTCTTGGGGCCGTCTTGAGGCTCTCTTGGGCCCCTCTTGGGGCTATCTTGGGCCCTCTTGGAGCCATCTTGAGGCCTCGAATGGCCATCGGAAGCGAAAAGGCGAGAAAGCAAAACACATTGATATTCCTTAGGTTTTTGAAGGATTTTGGCCTCTTGGAGGCCTCCTGGGAAAGCTAGTTGGCCTCTTGGAGCCGTCTTGGGGCGGTCTTCGGGCCTATTGGAGCATCTTCGGAGCCATCTTGAGGCATCTGAGGCTAGCTTGAGCAATCTTGGAGCTCATCTTGGGCTCCCCGAGGCGCTCTTGGAGCCATCTTGGGCCATCTTGGACGCTCCAATTACCAGCGAAACCTCCCGTCCAGGTCCAGGGGAGGGGGTAGGGGGAGGGGTAAACCCCTCCCCGAAGGGAAAGAAAGGGGGTTGGAAGAGGAAACTCCCTAAACCACCTACGCCCAGAGGGCTGGTGGGATTTGTCGCCCCAAGTCCCCCTGTGGGGGGACAGGCCCGACCTAACTCTGGCCAGAACGCACCCCAGGAGAGGTCTGGGGAGTAGCGGTACCGGTACCTCTTGGTTTCCCCATCCTGGGGTCGTTTGCTGCTGACCCCCTGCCTCCATGCCTCCCTGCCTCCTGCTGCTGGCGTTAAGTCGGGCCTGTCCCTCTACAGGAGGAATATTCAAAAAGAGTAGAAACATTGTCGGGGGACGATTTGACAATTTCTGCGCGTTTTTTATATTATTATTTTTATTCATTCGTCCAAAATCCTCCTGTAGGGGGACATTCCCAACCTACTGCTGGCGCGAGGGCGCGAGGGCCCAGGCTCCAACTTCTGCGCAGCTTCGCTTGGCGCGAGGCGCGCGTTTGGGGTTCCTGGCCTGCCGCCTCTGCTGTTCCGGGCCTGGCGCGCGCGAGTGTGACGCGCCAGCGCCCTAGGAGGAGGAGGAGGAGGAGGGGCGAGAATGCGAGAAGGAGGGAGGAGGAGGAGGAGGAGGAGGAGGAGGAGGAGGAGGAGGAGGAGGAGGAGGACGAGGAGGAGGAGGAGGGAGGAGGAGAGGGGAGGAGGAGGAGGAGGAGGAGGAGGAGGAGGAGGAGGAGGAGGAGGGGGATGGGGAGGAGGAGCAGGAGGAGCATCGAGAGGAAGAGCAGAACGGGTTAGGAGGAGGATGTTGAGGAGGAGCGAGGAATAGAGGGAGGAGGATGACGATGATGATGATGCTGTTGATGATGCTGTTGATGACGATGATGATGGTGATGATGATGTGAAGGAGAAGAAGACGGCGATGGCGATAATGACGATGATGGCGGTGCTGGTGATGATGAGGATTGTGATAGTGGTTGTGATGATGAGAATGTTCTTGTTGTTGATGATGATAACGGTGACGATATGATATTGGTGGCGATGATGACGCTGATGCTGATGATGATGATGACGCTGATGATGGTGATGATGGTGATGATGATGAGGATGAGGATGATGAGACAGATGACGCTGATGATGATGGAAGTTGTGGTAACTCTGATGATGGTGATGGTGATGGAGATTCTAATGATGATGCCGATGATGATGATGATGATGATGCTGGTGATGATGATAATGATGATGATGATGTTGGTGATTACGTTGACGATGATGTTGATGATGACGATGACGCTGATGCTGACGCTTATGCTGATGTTGAGGATGATGATGCTAATGGTAATGATGGTAATGATGATGGTGGTGATGATGATGATGATCATGATAACGACGCCGATGATGATCATGATGATGAGGATGAGGATGGTGGTGATGATGGTGATGAGTGTGACGATGATTGTGACGATACTGCTGCTGATGATGATGACGATGA